GCGCGGCCGGCCGTGAGGAGAGGCTGCGGGAGGCTCGTGGTCTTGGCTCAGCGTGTGAGCCTGACTAGTCTGAGCACCTGCGATGGGTGTGCTTGTGTGTGGTGTCTCTCGGGGACGCATCCCCCGCAGGCTCCTATCCACCCATCTGCTTTGCTTGTGGGCGACTCTTTCTTCATGAGAAGATTCCCAAGATCGATACTGTGCCCTCTGTCAAAGCCAGCGGCATCGGTCCCAGGGAGGATTTGGCCAGGAGCCGTGCAGAGCTGGCTCCGTGCTGAACTTCCATTCGCCCAAATCTGTCAGAAGGGCCTCAGCTTTAAGCAGTCTTTTCGCAGGGAGGGAGACCAGCCTGGGCCCAGCCACTTCCACATGCCAGAGCCCAGCGCTGGTGGGAGGGCGTTTCTTCACCCTTGTGCAAAGGCAGTTCAGCGTGTTCAGCCTTGGGGGTCCCCAAAGAGCAAGCCCTTGCAGAAAGCTGCTCGCAGAGGAGTGCTCCGTTCCTCCCCTGGCCCTGCAGAGAGGACACAGGGTGCAAGATGGAGGTGGGCTGCTCGGGCTCCACATGCCCTCCGCCCTACCGAGAGGGTTTGCGTGTTCCCCGGCGTGTCCCACCACCCCCTCCCCAGGCATTTGGAGATTTCACCTTCCTGCAGCCTCCAGAAGGGCTCGGGCACCTAAAGCACAGAAAATTCAATAGGCCCCGTGTAATGGTCTCAAGCCAAACTGGGTTCCAGCCCTTCCCCACCACCACGGGCTTTCGTTTTCCCTTTTAAAGCCATCAGGCTGGTTTACCCTAGCGCCCATGTCTGAACAACTGCTAGGAATAAGGCCTTGGGAAAGCTTTATTTGCTGACAGCATTTGTTTCAGCAAAAATAGAGATGCAGATGTATCCCCGGAGAAGTGTCTGCACTGGTAGAGTTTCTTTGGTCTGGGCGAACAAACCAGACTACCCCTACTCCAGGTATGTTTGCTAGCTGAGGTATAGCAGCACATTTTTTAATATGGCCCAGGCCACAGTGGCGGCTCCTAATAGGTCTGTGGTTAGGAGTTAGGCAGTCCTAAGTTGCATTATTTTTCCCAGAGATTTTTTTTTTTTTTTCCACTAGCCTGCTTATTCTCTATATATTGCCAAACCTGGCAAAGCTGCATGGAAGGAGCCCGCGTTGAGCTGGCCTCAAAGTCTCACAGCCTGTCTTGTTTTTTCAGATGGAGGGGAGGTCAAATCCAGATGCGTCACTCTGGGTTATAGTGGAAGACTCTTGGGTGTCAATAAAACGGCGTTGCCTTTATCTTGGCTACACTTAGATCAGAAAGTAATTCCTCTGTATGTCTGCTCCTTGTCCTTGAGGACCCCTCAGAGGATGGCTGGTGCTGCACCACTGTCCACACAAAAGCTGGCCAGACCCAAACCAGTAGGCTTTGATCAAAAGGGGTTTATTTTTCTTCCAGTTGCTTTTTTTTTTTCCCCCCCTCCACAAGATACTTACACCGTAATGACACGTGTACATCTATGATGGGGATTTGAATCTTTGTGAAAATAAAATTCTTCTGCTCTATGCATGAGAGAATCACGGGGCAATATCTTCTTATCTCCTGACTCCAGAAGGAGGGAATTTAACTGATGGATGGCATGTGATGTGTAATGAAGGCACGGTTGATATTCCACCGTTCCTCCCCGCCCACCCCAGGTTATAAAGGGCAGAGGGGCTGAGGGCTTGCTCCTGTGAGAGGGCGAGAGCTGCTCAGGTTTGCTGCTGTGTCTTCCCTCCTTGGACTCTGAATCGCTCTGTCTCTCAATCCGTGCCCAGAAGAGGCACGCTGATCTCAGTGATTAGATAATTTTCTTTCCCTAACACGCGTTCGTTCGTTAATTCTGTGCTCGCAATGAGACCTGCGTTTTTTTTTTTTTTTTTGCAGCCTTGCAGATTTTCTCACTAAAGCAAGCAACAAACTTTTGCACAGTTTATGGTTTTTCATACTCTATTTTATGAGAACTTGGCTCTTTTTTTTTTTTTTTTAAGACACTTTTTGGCAGCGAGCAAAACTTTGTGCTTTGTAGGTTGCCTCAGTTAGGGTCCCTTGGCAGTATTACAAGACAAGAAGATGTTTATAGCTGATGATAATTGCTCTTCCTGCAGTAGAAACATTTAGAAACCCCACTAAATGTTCATGTCTTAATTGCAGCGGGTTTATTTGAAGGGGAGGGGGGAAAAAATCCCACAACTCTTTTCTCTTTCCTTTTCCCCCGCACTACTTAATACAACTTAAAGAAAGGAAATTTCTCAAGTATGTGAATGTTTCTGTACTCTGCTCTGATATAAAATCTTGTAATTTTTTTTTTCTTTCTTTACTCATTTGCTGAAGACAAAGCCTCCAACTTTAACCTAAACAAAGCTATTCAGTTTTGGAGAAAAAAAAAATATTTTGTCATCTGCGCACTGGAAGTTTGAATAGGGGGAAAAGAAAACCTGAACAAAATACACAAAACAAAAAGGCCTGCCTGTTTTTTTGTGTGTAATTGAGGGAAATAGGTATAAAAACTTATGGGGTTCTTCTCACCCTTTTGGCTGTTTGGAAATAATACAAGGCATATATAGGAAAGAGGAAAAGGTTTGCATGATGCCTTTAAGAAGGCTTCCACCTGCCTTTTCTACCCCAGCAAAACCACAGCAAATACTGGCCCAGCTTTCACACTGTTGTTATTACCCGATGCAAATCGGATGACTTCTGTGGCCGGGATTGGCTGCAGGAAGACCATGCAAATCAGTTGGTTCTTTATAAAAAAAAATATTATCTCTCTTTTTTTTTTTTTTTCCCCAACTAGCCTGGAAAGAGTTAAAATTCCCATGCGAAGGGTAGAAGAGCTGAGGGGATGTCCATCTGAATTTGAATAGATATTCTTCCTTTTTTCACTGGTGTGTAATTTGCCTCTTATAAGGAGGGGATGAGCAATCCAGTGCAAAGTTGACTCTTCCCACCTTTTCTTTCAGCTGTCCCCGAAGGAGAACGTGGCCCCGGGTGTGGTGGCAGCCATCACTTCAAGGGTAAATGACAAATTTATTGGCATAGATAAGGATGGGGGGAAATAGGCAGGAGCTTTAAGGCAAAGCACTCGTCTTGCTCCTGGATTGGGGCCAATGTTTTGGAGCAAGGCAGCTTCTTCATGGTTTGAGAGGGGGGTGAGGATGTGCACGGGGGAGAGAGCAGGGGTAAGCGTTTGAAAATAGGGACCAGACCTATGGGAAGAAACAAGCTGAGTTTGCAAGGCAGCGAGAGAAGACTTTGCTTCTCTCTTGGAGAGCATCTTGCTCTGCGCCTGCCTCTCCAAGGCCGCTTTGTACAGCGCCAAGCACCGGCCGGCCGAGCCCTCTCGAGGGACAAGGAAAGGATGTGGGAGGGGGGGGGAAGGCTGGGAGGGCCCCCCTGCCTCTACAGGTGTGGTGGGGGATGGAGTCAAGGGGAGAGCCGTGCGGGCTGGTTTGGGATGCCAGCATAAAGCTCGGGGGAGAGGCTGGGAGGGCCCCCCCGTGATTAAACAAACCTCTGTGGGGGAGAGGAGTGAGATGGGAAAGGTGAGAGCACGGCAGCAAATTGGGGAGGGGGAAAGGAACGAGGGGGATGTGAAGAGCAACAGGAGGGAAAAGTGCATCCTCGGAGCTGATGCATATTCTAGTGACTGTATGTTGAGGAATCAGAAATTTGAAAGTCTGATGGTTTATTATAATTACACATTCATTTGTGCTGTTTAGTGGAAGCCACATGTGCCTGTTGCCTGGGACTGTGACCTGTTATTAAAATCAGTTGTGCCTTCTTTTCCAGAGATCAAGATGAGCGGTGATGCGGCAGATTCCACAGATACTCGGCACGAACCTGACCAGGTGGAGCCAGGTAAGGAGGGTCCAGGATGTGGGGGGGCAGGTGAGGGAACTCAAGGAGGGAGGGGAAAGAAAAGAAAAAAAGAAAAGGGGGCCGTGGGTGCTGGAAGTTTCTGTCTGTGCTTTGCTTGACTCCTGTTGCTGCTACGTTACGCTCTTCCAAGCAGCCTGGGAGTTGATCAAGAATGCGCTCTGGGCTAGGATTGCGTTCGTATCTTGATCAGCATGCGAGATCCTTCTGTAACAGCAGTGAATCAGTGTGTGTCTCAGTAAAGTCCTCTGCGGTTTTAGCATGGAAATACGCTCACCTCTTGCCAAAGGAATAATGCCACTGAAATACTCTTGGTCCGCTCAGTTTAGCACAAGCAGCTCTTCATTTTATACACGTGTGAGGAACGTTTCCTTTGACAAAACTCCCCGGGGAATAAGCCCTTCTTGGCCATGTATATGTAGAAAAATAGGAAGGACTTTGGGAATAATCAAATCCAAGTGGGTAGTTCCAGCAGAAATTGATCGCTCCTCATCTTGAAGCACGGTTGGGTTTCTCACCTCCACTACTCCCACCTGACAGCTGCTCCGACTCTTGCTGCGCCGGGGCTAAAAGCCCCGGTTCTCCTTGAATGTGGAAAGCTGAAGAACAGGGTGTTCCTTTGAAGATGACGGTGCTGGTGTTAGCACTGACTTCTGCCAGGTTACCTACCAACTTCTGCACTGCCACAAGGTGTGACAGACACCAGAAAAATCAGTTCTGTGTATTCTGGCATCACTTCTGACTGACGCTGCCCGCAGTGGGCTTTGCATGTGAGACCTCAAGTCTGTAATTTCACAAAGGCTCATGGTTGGATTCCTTTTTAGGCAAATGAACAGCAAGAAGAAATATTTTTAGCACCCACTAGGCATAAGAAATTAAGATTATTAGAAACCCCGAGGCTCGTCTGTGCACCTAGAAATAAACACCTTTTAAAGCCCAAACTGGTAGAGACGGTGTGGGGGAATCGCTGCTCCTTGAGTAATGGAGAGCCCTAGGCTTGGGGTGGGGGGGTGTGGGACAGCAGATTAAAACTTTATGAGAATGATTTTACTGTTTCTCTTTGACCTCTGTCATTTGAGAGAACTTAGAAAAAGTTCTTGGTAAAACCAGAGAACTCCAGGCATGTTTTGGTAGGACTAAAACTGCCCCTTTATTTACACCTTAAGCTGAGGACTAGAAACCCTCTGTGCTCTTAGCTGTTAAACTGGGTTGTTTGACACAATCTAAGGTAGAGATAAAATCTGGTTCTATTCACGTCCATGAACTCTGATTGACTTTGGTCAGGTCAGCTTCTGCTCAGGGTTTTCAGATGACCCCAAGTGGTTTTTTTGAGATAAACGTTTCCAAGCCGCCTAGCAACAAACACGTCCTCGACTTCCCAAGCTCTTTCAGAGAACCCTGGTAGCCGTTACAGGGCCTTAAACTGGGAACCACAGCCTCCTGAAATGTTTCATGCCTCTTAGTACACGGAGCTGGCGGAGAGCATCGTTGAATGGGGATTAGGGAAGGCTGTATTGGGATGACAGTCGGTATTTGGGTTTGGTATTGGCTGTTACTGACTGTAGTGGGATATTCTGGCTGCTGATGCTGAAGCCAAAAGTGTTAAACGGGCAAGAAGCTGGCACCACAGTTGCTTGGATAAAATATAGGTTTCAGCTTAAGCTTCCCAGACAGGCATTCGTGTTAGCTGCAGCACCTCTTTCTAGTGGTAATCGGGAAAAGAAAGCAGAGAAGTGAAGTCAATTTGTTTTAAAATAATAAAAAATGTTTGCAGCAGCATTAGCTCTGCTCTAGGAGCCTTCAAATCAAGCAGGGAAATCAGAACAAGTAAATCTCCTTCATTTGCAAAAGAGCGACACTTCCCTTCGGACTGATACAAGGAACCTGTTTAAGTTATTCTTTTTTTTTTTTTTTTTTTTTTTTCTTTTCCCCCCTCTTTCTGACCACTCTGTTTATAAACAACAAAGCTCTTTGTACTGAGCTTCCCTGGAAGTTTTTACTTTCCCTTATACACATTGTTAGAGGAATATTTACTGCAACACCTAATAGTTCAGTGTTTTGTTTACCAGCTTCATGTGGGAAAATCTGTTTTCCAAAGACTCATTAATTGAAGACCCATTTCCTAATGAATCCACACAGATCCCCAAGGAATCTTGTTACCCCCAAAGGAGAGGGCAGTTACCAAACTAACAGTATTATATCTTATAAAGAATGGAAATCCTTCTAGGTGCATATTTACAAAGACCTTTCATCACCAAAAGATTCAGACTGGCTCCAAGAAGAATTAAAAAAAAAAAAAAAAAAAAAAAAAAAAAAAAAAAAAAAAAA